TGCGGAGATCGTGCGTGTCGAGTGCGCGAAATGCAGGCGAGAGTGCGATTTGTCCCATGCGCGCACAACACTCGTGCGGAGATCGTGCGGTTCGAGTGAGCGAAATGCAGGCGAGAGTGCGATTTGTCCCATGCGCGCGCAACCTGCGGAGATCGTGCGTGTCGAGTGCGCGAAGGGCGACTGTCCCATGCGCGCGCGTATCTGGGGAGCTGGAAGATGAGAACAGGCGAGTGGCTAGTACAACTTTAGTACGCGGAGCAATCTGTGGAGCTGGAAGCTGAGAACTGGCGACATTGTAGTAGAACTATAGTACGTGGAGACCTGGGGAGCTGGAAGATGAGGACTATAGTGACTTGGTAGTAGAACTTTAGTACGCGGAGTATCTGGGGAGCTGGAAGATGAGAGCTGGCGACGTTGTAGTACAACTTGAGTATGCGGAGTCGTGGGGTATCTGGGGAACTGGAAGATGAGAACTGGCGACGTCGTAGTACAACTTGAGTACGCGGAGTATCTGGGGAGCTGGAAGATGAGAACTGGCGACTCTGTACTACAACTATAGTACGCGGAATACCTGGGGAGCTGGAAGATGAGAACTAGTGACTTGGTAGTACAACTTTAGTACGCGGAGTATCTGCGGAGCTGGAAGATGAGAACTGGCGACATTGTAGTAGAACTTTAGTACGCGGAGTATCTGGGGAGCTGGGAGATGAGAACTGGCGAATGTGTAGTACAGCTGTAGTACGCGGAGTAGCTGGGGAGCTGGAAGATGAGAACTCGGGACTTTGTAGTCCAACTATAGTACGTGGAGTACCTGGGGAGCTGGAAGATGAGAATTGGTGACTTGGTAGTAGAACTTTAGTACAACTTTAGTACGCGGAGTCTCTGGGGAGCTGGAAGATGAGAACTGGCGACTTGGGAGGACAACTGTAGTACGCGGAGTATCTGGGGAGCTGGAAGATGAGAACTGGCGACTTGGTAGTACAACTTGAGTACGCGGAGTATCTGGGGGGCTGGAAGATGAGAACTGGTGAGTGGGTAGTATCACTCTAGTACGCGGAGTATGTGGGGAGCTGGAAGATGAGAACTGGCGACTTGTGGTACAACTTGAGTACGAGCATGTTCGAGCATGTTCGGTTTCCAGAAGGATCCAGTCAAAAGAGGTTCCGATAGGTTCATGCTTGGGTACGTGGGTTTAAGTAATATGATATTCGACTTTTGCTGTTTCACCAAATCGCCATTTGCCCTTACCAGCAGCTCAAATGCTCACGAAGATGAGCTGAGCTGTCACCGCTTGGCCGCCGGTGGGGGGGTTGGGAGGCCTGCGCGCTACTTGGTTCACTATATCTAGATACACACACACAGAGACCCACACACTGCCTCAACACACTCCACTTAACACTTCACACTGAACACTTAACACATAACTCACACTCTGACTTCACACGTGATGAAAAATGCTTTCGGGCCACTCGTCGTCTAGTTTTCTGAGTCAGGGCCGTACTGTGCGAAAGAGCCTGTTTCACGATGTTAAAAGCCGATCAGAGCAAGCACACGAACACGAACCAGAGACTGAAGGTTGCCACACTCAATGTAAGGGGACTCACCGGAGATAGTGCTTATGTGAAGAAGAGTCTTATTGTTGATATCATGGAGAAGTGGAAGTATGATCTGGTTCTACTTCAGGAAACCAAAGGATGCAGTTTTTCTTCAGCGCGGATGTATCTCCAAGAGATGCAGTACAGACTGAGCGAGCAGGAGTTGGAATTGTGGTTCATGATGTGAAACTAGTCTCGGGCAGACTCATGTCTACCGTTCTTCAATCTAGGGGCCCTAATTAATTTGTGTTTTAGCTCCTGCTATGCTCCACATAGTGGACATGATATAGAAAAAGAAATACAAATTCTACGAGGAAGCGCAAGCTCACGCGCGGAGAAATACAGGCATCCACTTTGTTGGCGGCCATTTCTAACGCCAGATTTCATTATAGGCACCAATCCGAGGAAGCAGCCTTGGGACCGAACATTTTTGGCAAAGGCTCTGAGTACTTAGAGCATGTCAATGACTGCACGTTAGAGAACCGTTCACTTTTTGTCAACTACTGTTTGCAAGATGCGATTGACAGCTTGACTTGGGATATGCGCAGCTTGACTACTGTTTACAAAGGAGATATGCGCAGCTTGACCTTTGTTGGGTTGCTAAAAGACTGTAAAGACGTGACTGCCAGAACACATGTCTTTTCCTTCCGATCATTACCTTGTTGAAGCTTCGGTTGGTGTAAAACCCTGATCTTCCGAGAAGCTTGGTTTCTGAGCTGGCAGCCAGTTTTCAAATCAGAAGCTTGAAAACTGAGATTTGAAAACTGAGCTGCTTCACAGCCCAAAATTGAGCTAGCAGCTTGTTTCTTAGGAAAGCAGCTCGAAAACTGAGCTGCTGCCACCTGTGAGCAGCAGCTGCTCAGTCAAAAACTGAGCATTCAAGTTTTTCTGTTATAGACCATGAGAAGCTCAACTTGGAAGCTCGAAAGCTGCGCTTCTTGGAAGCTCAATGTTTGAGCTGCCAAAATTGAGCTTCTGATGGTTTGTAGTTTTGGAAACATTGTGTGAGAGGTTTGTGAAAAGCATGATTTGCTGGGCAAAGATTGCGCCAATGCTTGGTGCCTTCTGGAGGCAGGCTGTGCGAAAAGCATGCTTGGGTGGCCAAACATTGTGCCAACGGTTGGTGCCTTCTGCGAGCAAGCTTTGTGAAACGCATACTTGGGTGGCCAAAGATGGTACCACTGGGTGCCTTTTGCAGGCAAGCTACAATTCACTTGGAAAGGGAGTTGCGTCACATCCACCTCTCAAGCACCTCAAAAGAATTATGCCCAGGATTGCCTCCTGGTCCACAGCTTTGCTAAAATTCCTCCCATGGTTTCATCTTTGTCGAACCAAAAAATCTTGCACTGGACACCCCATTTCACACAAGCGCAAGAAAAGGTGCAGCTTAGGCATGATATGCCAAGATTTTGTCATCTGAGTCAAAGCTTCTTTCTTCAATTCGAGGTATTGTTGGCCACTTTCTGGCCAGCCCTTGGCAAGACAGTGGTGTCATGACACTCCATGGCTGCATATGCTTTTGCCAGAAACCTGGCAAGCTTTTGGACAGCAAGCTGATGAGGCTTTCTGCCATTCAAATGCTTGTTTGCTAAATTGGAAGCAAGGGAACCAAGTGCCTCACTTGAGCTGCTGGCCCCTTGAGGGTTGGAAGGCCAACTTCCTTTTTTCCCTTCGTTTAAAATGATGAGCTGGTTGCCATCGAAGAAGGTGTGAACCATTTGGCTTTCTTTTGTGGGCAGGCCTCTGCAAAGGCAAGATCAGCTGGAAGGGTTGCTTGCCCACTTCTTGATGGGAGACAACTGCTTCTTGACCTCTCTGTGGGCAGCAGCAATGGTTTGCTGAAGCTGTGCCAATTCTTCGGCTTTTACTTCCAAATTGTCTGGTGGCAGGTCACTTCCCTTTCCAAAAAGGACTGTATATACATATTTCTTCTTGCTCTCCTCCAGGTTGGTCTGAAGCTTGCGCACCTGCTCAAAGTAAGCTTGCTTGAGCTCCGTGCGCTCACTGTTGTCGACAATTGCTTCCAACTGGGCTTTGAGCATCTCCATCGCACTGATCTCAGCAGTCAAGCAGGTCATGGCTGTATTTGCTTTCTTCAAATTAGACTTGTACAGTTCCTCATCCTCACCCTTCTTACCCCCACAGTGATCATCTTGGTCTGGGGGCCTCCAGACAAGGCCAGCCCCATGGCATTGAAATCCCGCTCTTCCACATTGTCGACGCTCTCGTGGAGCTTCAGGCCTTTCTTTTCTGTCTTGACCATCTTAAAGGTTTTGATGGTGTACCGGTATTGCTTCACATCCAAAGCAGCCAAAGCACGGTCTTCATGAGGCCTTTCCTTCAGGCCAGCCACACTGGCATCACATAACTCCACAAATCGAGGGTTTGAGGACAGGACCCTTTGCTTTCTGCCACTTGCTCCTTTGTAAACCATCCAGGCTGCTCTGTTGACTTTTTGGTTTGCGTGTTCTCATCAAGTTTCTGGACTCCTTTGGAGCTGACTGGAGGGTCGAGGAGAGTAGGTGGTGCAAAAAAGATCACGCTTTTCTTGTTGAGTTGCACTTCTTGTACGTACCTGGCAAATCAGCCTCTTGAGCTTTTTAGCCATTGCCACAGCATCGGGTTTTGGTATGGGTGGGAAAGGCTCAGTCTTGACTTTGCTCTTTGCAGCCGCGCCAGGCACAGCCTTCACCAGGCTAACCTCTCCAGGCATGGAAGGAGGACGTCTCTAGACTTTGGTTTAGGGGGCATCTCTGCGCTAGGTCTTTTCATGCCTTGTGCCACTTGAGCAAATAATTCTCACTAGAGGCAACAAAGGCACTCCAGCCTTGAAAGTTTCCAAAGTTTCCCTGGAAAGGTTAGTTGGACATTTTCCCTTATTATTTCAAGAGGCAACATATAAAGGTTTCCCCTAGGAAAGTTTCCCCTGGAAACTTTTTTAATCTGAAACTTTTTACCTGATTTAAGAAAATATACTATAGCTTTATTTTTGTATATGTCTAATTATAGTTTTCGCAGTCAAGGCCACGTTTCGCTGGCAGGGGAGAAGCTCGTGTTTCTGCTGTCGGCCTTCTCCAGGCAAGCCTTTGCAGGCATTTTGTTGAGAGCCTTGCCACCTACTGGTCTGACCAATCTACAAAGTTGAGGCTCTCCACTAGTGGATAGGTTTCAAAAGGGTCGTCTTGCACATGCCCATTGCCACCAGCTGAAACCCAACTCTGGTGAGATGCCCTGAGGTCCTGCCATGGACCACCAGCATTGATTCCATCACTGCCTTCTCCAGGCAAGCCAGTATCTGCATTTTGCCATGAGCCACCAGCACTCATTGCACCATTGCCTTCAGCCAAGCCAGCATCATGCATAGTGGACCGGCACAGCGGGCCCAGCTGGTGGCTCAGAAGCTGGAGGGATTTGGTTGCGTCGATGAGAGTGCCATTTGCTGGCAAGCCAGCTTCTGGCAGTTCATCCACATCCATTGCTTGTGGAGATTCGGGTGGCTCTGACAGAGTCTTCCTAGGGAGCTTTGAATGACCTCCTCCACTAGGATCTGAGGAGTGCCTTCTGCGGGCAAGTCAGAACCTGGCACACATCTGTCAGCCTACCTGCCTTACCAGCAGCTTTCACACAGACTGCCCACTTGAAGCACCTGTCCCTGAAATCTGTCGCTGGCATGTCTTCAGGGGCTTCAAGCCAATCAGGGGTTGGCATACCAGCCAACCTCAATTTGTGTTTGAGGTTGCTCAGCACACTGGCCAAGATATTCAAACCTGTGGCCATTGCACTTTCACTGCCTTCTGCAGGCAAGGGGTTTGACCACCTATGGAGGCATTGCATTCTGCGGGCTTAGTGGCTGAGTTTGCGCCCCACATGTGTTCTGGCAACTCTTCCTGTTCTGCTGGAATGCCAGGCATGTGTCGCCTTGACTTTTTCTTGTTTGCCTTCTCCAGGCAAGGGGCTTGCCCCCACATTTGTTGGAGGGAACTTGTGAGGCCTTGGGGGAAGCTCCTTTGCTCCAACCATGCAAGGCAACCAAGAGCCCTTGCACCACTCAGGCATCAATGAACCTGTCTTCATATTTCGCCCTTCTCTGCCCATTTACCTTTTCACATCTCTGGCTTTTGGTGCTCCTGGGGAACGCCTTGAAAACGGTTTTCCTTTCCATCTCTTTGTTCATCCCACCACACACCACAAACCAGCCATGGAGA